CTCTTTGCCTTTTGGCTGTGTGCAAGTGGGTCGATATGACACACGGGAGTGGGGGCAGCCGCCGCTCAACCTACATCCACGTGGGCGGCCTTGTACGCAAGAGTTTCTGAAAAGGGGGAGTTGTAAGGAAGAAGATTAAAAACGAATTTAAGATTTTTTTGTTTTTTTTGGTTTTTTCGCTTAGGCGCTCTGATATCATGTGACAATATATATATCATCCACGTGGCCGGCCTTGTACGTAAGAGGTGATGAACAGGCGGAGCGTTCCTTCCTTCCGTCTTTCCTTTTTCTGTTTTGTTTTTTTCGCCTTTGCGCTCTGATACATGGTGTGACATATATCCAATTTTCTTGTGTTGCTCTTCCCCCTTTTTAGGGGGTATTTCGTTTTGCGGACCTACTGTATGGTTGCGTGTTTTTAACTATGGATATGGTAGAATTTGTTTTGGTGACCTTGTCTGCATCCCGGTTGGTTTTGTCCCGTTGTTCGGTCTATTTTGGCGAGAGAGCGTAGCGGTGCTTTCATGTGGGGACCAGTCATCCGGGTTCTCTTTTATTGCCTTGGCATCCTACAGTAGTTGGTTGCTTCCCGTTGTTCGGCCTTTGTGAGGGGGCGGTGCTTTTATGTGCGATTCATCATCTGGGGGATTGGCTTTTATGTGTTTTTTTTGTCCCTGTAAGAATGGTCATAGGAATGCCAGCTTCTTGATGTCGAACAAGGCTATCTGCTGTATATAGATGTGTATCTGGGATTCCTTTCTTTGCAGACAAGAGTGTTTTGTCCTGGGTGGTCTTGTGCCGTCGTTAGTCCTGTGTAGGACTGGGGCGGTGCTTGCATGTGGGACTTGTCATCTAGGATCCGGTTTGTGCTGTTGCTTATTGACCCCTGTTTTGTTGTATTTGGCTGTTCCCTTGCTCTTTTCTCTGCTTCTTTGCCCTTTGGCTGTGTGCAAGTGGGTCGATATGACACACGGGACGGGGGTGGGGGCATCCGCCGCTCAACCTACATCCACGTGGGCGGCCTTGTACGCAAGCGAGAGGTTCTGATCAGGGGGAGTCTTGTAAGGAAGAAGATTAAAAAAACTGAATTCATTTTTTTCCCTGTTTTTCTTTTTTTCGCATTTGCGCTCTGATCTTCATGTGACGATATATATTGGCACACATGATATCAGAGCGCCGAAGCGAAAAACGAAAGAAAACAAGGAAGACAAGAAAAAACTTAATTCATTTTTAATCTTCTTCCTGTTCAGAACCCCTCTTGCGTACAAGGCCGCCCACGTGGATGTATATAGATGATGAGTTCGTGAAACGCCGGCTAAACAGTTTGTCACAGACCCTTGTTTGTCGTGCTCTTCTCCCTCACTGCCTCACCGGGCACTTCTCTCTGCCGATGTATATTTTTCTTTATCGTCATTTCGGCTCTGACCTTATGAAATGATGTCTGTTTCCCATGCTTCTTTTAATTGTTTCACATGCTTTTAAACGTAAATGTTGTAAAAAAAAAAAAAAAAAAAAAAAAAAAAA